TCCACTGACGAAGGTGTTGGATCGTACGCAAACTCTCGATGAAAATCACTTTCCGCCAAGATGCATTTGCAGATTTCACCTGCAGCGGTGAATTATCGATGTCGAAGTACGATCTGTTGGAATTGATTTCAGCGTCTAAACGACATAGTTTTTCCAAAAAACTAGTAACTAGCCATTTTTGAGAGGTAAACTGTATATGGCATGAAATATTTACCGCATTGTACTTGTATTAACAGGTCATTGTCGACGCGTAGTTTACGCACGGTTGCCGTGTTCTACGCATTCACAACATGTTCACAGCGGTAGATATCCATGCTGTATCATATAAAAACGATTACCAAGATTCGTTACGCAAGACCAAGTTTCAAATTAGTTGCATTTTGAAGGGGTGGGCGTTTTGCCGAATGTGACCCCAAATATAAAAATTGTGCAAAAGTGGGGGGTTGGGGCGCTTGCCCGGGCATGGGCGCTAACGCGGTCGAGTACGGTAAATACACTTTGAAAAGAAACAAGATTCTTAAACTTAAATCTATTTGAATACATTCTCACTACAAATTACACAATACTTATTTTCTAGTGGAGTTTCTTCACAGCACAAACTATTGGAATCATGCACACGTGTGCGTACTTCGGTGACACATTTTATAGCTACGCCCAAAATAGTCCATCATTTATTGCGCAACTGCAAGCACACGACATCCACACATTTTCATAAAATCTCCATGCACTTTTTGACCTTTCATAAGTAAAATACACTACAATTTACTCCAGAAAAACAATTTTCTTGGTACATTCCTACATTCTTGCATACTAATGAGGGATTCAGACACATTCCAAGCTGAACAATTTTCTTGGACTAATAACAAAGCTGGTCAATCCTTTCCCAGCAATAATTATTTATAATGTCAATTATTCTTTTTTTTCCTCTATTATCATTTACACCCTGCAGGCACATGCATTGAATAAATTGACACAGTATATTTCTTAATAGCCCTAAGAAAAAAAATCAACTTTTCTTGAAACTTTCGTTAGTATTTCTGACAATAAACAATGACCAAGAATCTGAATATATTGATTCATATGAAGTAAATGTCAGTAGTAGATAAAGAGTCATGGTAATAAATTTGCATACTAGTATTCAGCGATTTATGCACTGTTTTCATACATTTGTGACACTATTACATATTCTTTGTTAAGCAAGGTACACGTGTTAAATATCAGAATCAATAGGTACATATTTTCAAGTTGTATTGGTAGATACATTTTGTTGAAAATGAATATTACCAAAACAAAATTTAAAAGTCAGTGTTTACCCAGCTACCCTAATCAAAATAAGTCACGTTCATCTATTCACTGTAAAAAAAATCCATCAGATACATGTTTGTATCTCTACTAATTCACAGTAAACACAACTAACCTGTTCGGAGTATGCCTGGATACAGTAGCAATACAAGTAAACAAAGGAGTCATAATATAAATTATGATGAAGGTAAACTAATGGATGTACATGTATAGGAAACAATGTAATAGTCTGTATGCATCACAGACGGAATCGGAATGGGAAATGCTTTGCATCAAATTTTGATTTTGTGATTTTGCCATTTTCAAATCATAGATCAGTAAATCCAGCATACAATGCAGTGTCTTGATGACACCCTAAGATGCTGAAAACTAACAGGTAATCACAAAAAATCTAGAGAAATGCTTAGTAATTTTCAGCTGTGAAAAAGCCGACAGCTTTGGATATCTTGCAATAATATGTCAATGGCTTATAGTAAAATTGAGGAACAATACGGCCTATAGTCCCATGCCTTGAAATAAACACATTCTTGTAAGCTAAACTAAAAATACACCATTGTAAAATAGCTCTAGCAAGACATATCGAGTGAACGCTTCAAAATATAATTGTTTAACGCTGCAGCTTTGTATCTTAGCAACAAATTACAGAACTTGTAGGAATTTTCACTCTCAGTCTGGAAACTATATATTTGCTTTTTAAGTTACGAAAATAAAAGTAACCGATTACATATACCAAAGTCAGTGCCTTTCTAACCTAACCTGTACAAATCTTATTGAAAGACAAGCATATATGATATAAACATTTCAAACAATTGTTTATGACCATGGGAATTGTTCGTTGCTAGCCAACAGTCACTATACTCGGAAATATGGGGCTTTTGTGTTTTCTTAGACAGAATCTAATGTAAGTGCAACATTAGTGGAGCGCCTATTCAAACTGCATCGGTACAAACAGTAGAAGTAAAGCAACTTAATATCCACAAGAGCATAAATAGTACAATCAGTGTATGGTTGAGTGGTTTTGAAGATATCATTAGGTCAGTAATTTTATAAAGCCTGTCCATCTCTGGGAATTATTTCCTATGAAAACCAGCAAGCAAGAATAATGACGTTGCTACTCAACTATTTTGCTGGTTAATACTTCGAAAATGGAAGAATCAGAAATTTGATACAAGGTTTTATATTTGCCTGTGATGAAAATATTGAATAGAGCCAAATAGAAAAGATTAAGAGCACAGCAGCATTGAGGTTAAAACAAGGAAGACTGAAAATGCAAATTGTCATCAGTTGCTAGAATATAGACCACCTTTGTTTCACATTGTGATGTTTAGAATAAGAGGGCAAAATATTTTTGTAGGTACTTGTCTTAACATCTCTCTCAGTATACATATGTTTGTATTGTAGTTAACTTGTTGTTAAGAATACAGACGGTTTTTTTTGGGGGAGTTTTGTTCGGATTTTATTTATTTTAATTAAACATCAGGCAACACACAGTAGTAACTGCCATGCTTTATAAATATGAATTTGCTAGAGAATGAAAATTCAACAAAAATGGGTTAACATTAACATCTCTCTCAGTATACATATGTTTGTATTGTAGTTAACTTGTTGTTAAGAATACAGACGTTTTTTTTTTTGTTTTTTTAGGGGGAGTTTTGTTCGGATTTTATTTATTTTAATTAAACATCAGGCAACACACAGTAGTAACTGCCATGCTTTATAAATATGAATTTGCTAGAGAATGAAAATTCAACAAAAATGGGTTGGAAAATAGTATATATAGTATCGCTAATATGAGTTTGGCAAATTGGTAGGCAGGGCTGTGATACACCCTGGCACACTGTATCCTATTCATGATAAATCAAACAATAGCTAACAAAAGAAAGTCTTCCACTTATTGGTAGAGAAAACTATACATCCATTACCCGAATCCAGAATTAAATGTCCACCACTCAGTTTCGGTCAACAAATTACTTTTATTTCAGTTATTCACTTTTTGTAGTAATTTCAAAATTAAATTAAGAATAGTTTTTCTTTACATTTGAGGCGATCACAATGAACTAAAATAAATAACCAAGAACACACAGGAATGTAGTTTTCAACAATTTCATCTAAAAGTAGTATTCCATTTAGACAAATACAAACATGAACTAATTAATAACATGTTTATATTCTGGTTAGTATACTGTGTTATACAGAGATATCTACAAATGGCATGAACAATGACCCACACTACGACCTACATGTATTTGGTACAGCAGTCATTCATGGGTCAATAACTGGAGCTAATAACTGAACGCCACCGCCCTGTAATTCAACAAAGCAATTCCCAGTGAATACAACAAATTCAATTCCCAACTAAAATCACTTTCACATGACAAGCCCACCATACTATCAAATCAAATGATATTTTAATTCAAAATGGCCACCCCAACACAGCGCCTTGTCAAAAAAAAAAAAAATAGAACGCTTAAATATAGTTTACATGAAGACAAGCCCCTCCCACTAATACCTGTTGTATTTTATATACACTATATTATGAATTATAATAACTGCTCTAAGTTCCTGATTTAAATTAGGGAATATTTACAATACAATACAAATAAACTGACATGAAAAAAAAAATCCCAAATGTAAAAGATATGTAGATATGATACATGCACGTACATCATCCAAATGAAATTTATTCAACAGATGAATCAAGAGAGGCCCAGGAAAAGGTTTTTCCTCCCCTGATCTAAACAGCAATTAGGAGTACTTGCACCATGTAGTCGACAGATTTAGAAATCGTAAAATCAAAATTGACATTTCTCAAAATATTGACAGGGCTTGTGTTAATTATATACATGTACCTGGACATGTTTGATTATTTTACACACAGTTCAGATATGCTGGCAGTAAATGTACGCAGCGCAGTGCATAAACAGATAGAAATGTTAAACTTACCAAAGGAGCAAACAGTAATAATAATAATAATATAACCTGTCTGGTGAATATATGTTGTGATTGTTTACATTGTTCAGGGCCGCTATAGCTGCTTTTACACTGCACACACACACAATGCCAGTCAATAATTTATTCGATCTATAATCCCAATGCATGCCACTGCATTTCTGATGGAATTCGTTGTCCTTATTATAGCTTAGCACACTACTGTATGACCTATTTATAAATATATCGATGACATTGTTTTTGCCAACGTGGCAAGCAATTTTAAAATCTCAAGACATTGCCTGCGGCTTTCCAGGCACGAGAAAATGAGTCATGCTATAAACATTATCATAATTTATGTAATTTTTTTGTGTCCATATTGTGGTAGATTTCAAAAGCCAGCAATATTTTATTTCATGGTACTCTATTATATGAACTTGTTTTTTCCCCTCAAAAGCACATTGTGTAGTTTTGCTATAAGAACGCCATTTTTAATTGCATTATGATACAATTATGATAATTACGATAGGTAAAAGAGGTTAAGGGTCTGTATAGTATAGGGGTCTTGGTGAGGTTTGTAGAATGAAATTATTGTTGGAATTATTAAACATATAAACTAGTTCAATATATATAAATCACTATCCTACATGTACACCATCACCAAAACCATGTTAAAATTATTTTCAAAGTTCATAAAGAGCTCTGAATATAAACCAGGCAATAATAGTGGGCCACTTTCAGGTGGGAGGTCATTTAAATTGCCTACTCACTGTCTAATCCCAGTTCTTCCATGAACATTTCACGTCTGGAAGGTGACGGTCTAGCTTTCTGTCCATCCAATCTGGGACTAAACGTCATTGGTGTCCTGAACACAGGCTCTTTGGAAACCTACAAAGGAAAACACAAACATGCAATTAGATTAAGCACAAAATGGACAAATACTGAAAAGTTAATCTACACGGCAACAGTAATTGCAGCACAGCGCACAAAAAATTAAATAATTTATCGATATTGTTATCAGATATCAGCATTCATCAGAGGTTTATTGTGTACCATATAGCATCATGACTAACAAATGATCTTTTGTTTATCCAAACGACCAAACAAACATTTTACTTAGATCATTGATTGCATGCAGATAAGAATTCTCTTTATGTGTTGTTTGAAGACATTTCAGAAGTTATCTTCACCATGGGGTTGTCATAAAAGGAATAAGCGATGGCATGTGATATAGAATATTTAAGGCTTGTTTATTAATATCACCACCAGTTCCCTCTTTACATTACAAATTCACAAAATAGTCCCGTTTATAGTCTCTACTTTCCTTCAGAAGAATGGGAGAAAAATAGCCAAATTGTTTCAAATAGCCAAATTCAAAACAGAAAATTGACTCAAACTTTGTCTGTTGGCTCAAAAATTGGGATTCATTTCCAAAAATATTGAAGAAAAATTTTGTCAATAAAGTCTGGTGGTGAAAAGGGCAGTAACATACATTTGTATGTACAAGTGATGTACATGTATGACAATTAATTTACAGTAAATAAAACAGGAAGAGAGAAGATAACAAATTTATAGTATACTGACCGGTACTCTGCGGGGCATCATATTGGCGATTTCCCGTTGTAATTGTTATAGGTACGTAGATATGATTCTCTGTATACCTGTGGTTGAGGTAATAGAGCCTCTAAATTTGCTGAGGAGACTTCATGATTACAATGCCCACCTTGGAGAAAGTGAAAATAAGAGATGGTTAGGTTTGAAACCGAAAAATATTGCTGCATCTGAGAGTTTACAGTCTAGGTAAGTTTTGTACACTGTGACTTGGCGCACTGTGGGAGAGCAGAAAATTGGTGAATTGACTTGTCTGTGTGTAGCTATAAGTGTTGTGTTTGTATACCATTAGGGAGGACATTCCATACTGCTTTGCTAACACATTATACTCACATGAATCATTGGCTGCATGGAAAGTTCACAACTATCTACTACATTAGTAATCATTGACATCACAGAAACTATTGTAATTAGATTAAATGGAACAGGGGTGCAGCGCCCTCATGCCATGGCCATGTGCCCCCTTACCCTGGGGAGCAGATCTTCTGGCAACCATAAAATTCTGATTGACCAGGGATCACATTTGGCCACAGTCTTCAACTGTGACCTGTCTGACAGTAATTTTGGCCCCAAGGAAGCCATAGAATGCTCCATTTTAACTTAGAATTATCAAAAACTCCACACCATGGTAAGGAGAACCCTATCTCCCCCACTTAGTGGTGCCACTGAATTGCAGTGCTCCCTCTTGCAGTTTTTTTCTAGAAAAAAACCCTGATGACTATCACTTGTTGAGTCCAAACTACTGTACTGTAATTTTTAAGAACAATTTATTTAAATTTGAGAAACAAAATGCCTCACTGGGGTTCTTGAGACAGGAAGTTACAGAGACATTTCATATAATTTCATCCTTGAAGCGGGGTCATATTATTAAATTGTAAACCTTTTTAATGGTGAAAATGTAACATGTAACAAGATTATCTATGAAAATTAAATTGTTTACAGTATTGTAGGCAAAAGTATAACAATAAAAATTTAACTATCGATAAAATATAACCTACAAGCAGCCTGTCGGCTGAGATAGCTCTGCTGTTAGCAATGCACATTTCAATTAAATAACAGAAGATATCATTAGAAAATGAACAATATGTATAGTATCAATGCAATGGGACTTGCTGTTTTCAACAAGAATTCAAAAATATCACTTTTCACCAAAAAAGACAAAAATAATCATCAAAATTAAATAATTAAAGATATCACCACAAAATTAACAAATCTGAAAGAGGTCCACATGTAGTACCTATATAAGTAATATAAAAGCAATCAGACTTGTGGTTTTTAACAAAAAGTCGAAAATATCACTTTTTACCAAAAATTACAAAAATATTCACCAAAATTAGAGAATTAAAGATATCATTACAAAATGAACAAATCTGAGAGAGGCCTACAAAAAACATGTACATGTAGTACCTATATATGTAATATCCAAGACATTGGACTTGCGCTTTTTAACAAAAAGTCGAAAATATCACTTTTTACCAAAAATGACAAAAATATTAACCAATATTGGAGAATTGAAGATATCATCATGAAATGAACAAATTTGAGAGAGGTCTACCCAAGGTACATATACACCAGGTATCAAAGCATTCAGGCTTGTAGTTTTCAAGAAGTCGAAAAAATGAAACATTGACACGGACGATGACTGGCAATCACTCATATGATAAGCTCTGCTTGACATAGTCGACAGCGGAGCTAATAAAGTTATCTTAAATATAAATGATAAAAATGTACAAATACTGTATAAACAGCTGTATAGCAATCTTTAATGGTACATCACAAGTCTTCCAGTGTGAGATGTCCCACACATAATGATCTACAGTAATACACATGTATCTCTGTATCTCCAAATCAAAATATTGATAGCATTGTCAAAATCTGTGCAACAAGTAAACAACAAAATGATCAAAGAAAATAGATTGTGGTGGTAATGTCATCTTTCCACCAACCCTCTACTAGTATGCATTCCATACCATTCATTAAAGCTAGCAAAGACAAACATACAACAACGACAAACATTTACTCTCCGAAAGAAAGACAAAAAACTTCAATTTTGTGAGAGCAAATTTCACAAAATTTGGATGCAGTGTATATATACCAGTCTTTCACAGTAAATCACAGGGACTCCAGTATGAAATATAACACATGTAATGATTATGGTTAATTTTGAGTTTGGCCTTGATCTACTAAAGCAGCAACAGCAAGAAGACATAGGTAACAGACCTCTATAGTGGTTTGGAATATTGACTCAATAATATATATGTGAAAATCTATACTAGTAGTAATGAAGCCCTGTACATATAAGAATGATACCTTATTAATATCGAATTGTGTGGAATAATGTTTTCTATGAATTCCACACCCATCATTAAAGCCACTCCAACAATCTGAATGGCAAACCATTTACTTTCAGAAAGTATGACAAAAAATGCTTCAATTTTGTGAGAGCAAATTTCACAAAATGTTGATATACATAGTGACAATTTACCTGGGTCCTATTGCGCCCTTGACTGAAATGCTTGAGAATGTGGCTAAACAAATTCAAATCCTACTTTGTTGTGTAATACCAATTAAAAGAGACCAGTGTTCATTTCACATGTAAAATGATAATTAGTCCTTGTGTGTACCCACAGCTGGAAGCCATCGCCATGGTAATTATTTGTCTGGCAAATGGAATGTTTCGTTGGAACCACATGATGCAACTTTGGAATGTGAAAGGAGCTTTGCAACCAAAAGTTAACATTATTCTTTGATTATTCACCAAGTATAGTGCTCTATGACAATGGGATTGAGAATTCAGTTGTTATCCCTGGAACACTAATGGATTAAAGAGAGTTTGCCAAGGCTGTGTAGAGAATTCACATCTAGGATTAATATTATTGTGACAGTAGTGTATACAAACCTGTTGTATATACAAACCTGTCGGGGGGGGGGGGGGCACCAGTCACATTCCAGTGTTAGGAAAATTCAATTGCAAAACTATTAAAGATGTGTTAAAATAAAATCAGGAATGTCAAACATGAATAGTGTATTCCTCAAGTGAATATCCAAAAAATCTTTGAAAAAACAAAAGTGGCTAACTTAACATTGAAACATCTGTGGACCACAACTAAAAAAACACAAGGATACTGTACACGTTTTTTTGCTTTGAAACACAAAATTCTACTTTTTTGTATTTTTCAATGCTGGACTACAAGGAGCAAACACTCAGTAGGGAAAAAAGTGAATTGGATGTTTTTATAGGGTGTAAAAATATATATTTTTTTAATTAAAAACAAAAGCACATGTCATTGTTTTGAAAGCTATGTTTAATTAATCAGCAAAAGACATAATAGACAGATAATTTGCATAATAGTCACCACCCATAGCAAATATAAACAAAAAATCTTGGAAAGAAAACTACATGTAGTTGACTCTGGTGGTGCGTTCAGCCACAGTTATTGGTTCAGCAGCGGAGCAAGAGAATGGCCTTCCATGGAGGGCAATGTATGGTAATGAATCTTCCAGAAAAGGAGTGTCTCCTCCACAACTTAATAATGAATATGTAAATCATGACGTCATTTTGGTGCGGCTTTGTCACGCCGTGAAACAGTGTTTCCTATTGGATTCGGGAGCATAATTTTGTACTTTATAACCAATTGCGACCACGTATATTGACACATCTGCGTGATTATGACAGACAGATACCATCAGGGTTCTCCCCAGGGCTTTTTAGCGCCGAGATCCGCGGCGCTATACCTGTGAATCTCGGCGCTTCACTTGGGACCTCGGCGCTATGTGTTCCCACCTCGGCGCTTGATTTCATATTTGACATGCCAATATCAGATGTGAAAAAGCTTTGTTCGCCACGCCGGTCGGCCCCGACCGTCACTCAAAATTAGTGACCACCACGGAAATGCTTCCGACGAGGACTATTGTCTGATTGTTGGTATAATTAAGTACCGACCGACACGCATCCTGCCAGTCGTGGATTATAATTTATAAACAATAGACCTAGTCGCACGATACGTAGCGGCTAGTCAAATTTGTGGAATTAGCACCTCTTTGTTTGTAAGTAAATACTTTCTGCGATAGACACAGTCTTTAGATTTAAAGCTAAAATTATTTCAAAATCAATTCCACCTTGATATAACATGGTCAAATCGGAGTTCACGATCAGTTCACGCTACTCAAGAAAAAAACAATGTGTTTATTGCGTGATTTGGTAAAATACATTTGAACTGTATCATTG